GGGCTCCCCCGGGGGTGACCGGGCGCCGTCCTCGGGGGCCGGGTCCAGGGCGCCTGCGGAGAGCCGCTCTGAAGTCCGGCGGGTGGGCTCCGCCGCCGCGGCCCTACCCTTGCCCGGCTCGGGCGATACCTTCAGGGGCGCCGGCTGTGGGCAGCAGGGCGTCGTCGGGTCGGCCCGGAGAGGCGGAAGACGCGCCTGGGGGCTCCGCCAGCTCTGCGGGGCAGCAGGAGACAGGTCTGTCAGGGGGTAGCAGTGCGGGGAGCGCCGCTCCTGAGCGTCCACAGAGGTGGGGGGCCCTACCTGAGCTCCGCACCTGCAGGGCCTCGGGCAGGACCTCCCTGGTGGCGGCGTCCACAGCCACCGGGCAGGTGAAGCAGGAGGGGGCCGAGCTGACCTTGCTCGTCTGAAGGGCGCGGAGCAAGGACCTCCGCGCCTGGCCTGTGAATTGAGGGGTGAACAGCCACCCTCTATGGCGCTGCACGGAACACAGCAAGATGACCCCCACTTTCTCCCTGTGAACAGAGTGTGGTAACTTCTTGGGCCCCAAACCAGCTCAGACTGTCTAACTTTGACAAGAAGTGGTCAGGCTGGACACTTAGCCCGTAATGGGGGCAGGAGCCCCTGGTCACCCAGGAAGTCGAGAGGAACATGGCCTGGTTCTTTCTTCCACTCTTTCCGGTACTATCTGATAGAACTTCCTGTGTGCATGGAAATGTCCCATATCTGCGAGAGCCAGTGTGATAGCCACTAGTCACATGAGACTATTGGACACTTCAAGTGTGCGTCATGCAACTCAGGGACTGAAACTGTGTGTGTGTTTGTGTGTGTGTACATGCACACTGTACTGGGGTTGAACCCAGGACCTTGCACTAAACTACATCCCCAGCCTCTTTTTTGTTTTGTTGTTTTGTTTTAGTTTTTTGAGACATGGTGTCACTATGGTAGCTCAGGCTGTCTTCAAACTCACTATGTAACCCAGGCTGGCCTCAAACTCAGAGTGATCCTCCTGCCTCAGCCTCCTGAGTGCTGGGATTACAAGTGTGAGCCACCACACCCAGCTTCCCTGTTTTTTTTTTTTTTTTTGAGACAGGGTCTCACTACAATTGCCAAGCCTGGCCTCAAACTTGTGATCCTCCTGCCTCTGCCTCCCAGGAAGCTGAGAACACAGGTGTTCATTGTCATGCCTGGCTTAATTTCTTGTCAGTGTGTTGAGCCACCTCAAATCATTTGTGAACAAAATGAGGAACAGAGAGTGACGCAGCACAGCGACCTATGAACCTCAGCCACTCTGCCCCAGGCCCGTGGGCCCTGACTCAGCCCACTAGCAACTCACCGCGGTCAGCTGCAGTCTCAGCCCCTCCTCGGAGGGCCAGCTGTTCGTTGTCCCGAACCACAGAGGCCGCAGTCAGCCGGTGCAGTGCTTGGTCCCAGGCAGCTTCTCTTCCAGGGGGCGATGGAGGCCAGGAGCCACCCCCGGGCCCCCACAGGGTCTCGAGCCCGATACCCACCTCCCAGCACATAGGCTGCTCCCCACACAGGCCCTGGATCACTACATGGCAACGGGGGGCCTGGGGGGGCAGTGGCTCGGCCGGAGGGGCTGCTTCCTCACAGGGTGGCACAGCCGTGAACAAGAAGGGTGGCTCCATCAGCATGTCCCAGTCCAAGGGGACGGGGGAAAGCAGGTTTCCTGGGGAGGGAAGGCGGCTAGGGTCAGGGCAGTGTGGTGGCCTAGGCCCCGAGGTCCCTCGGTGTCAGGGAAGCCGTCTCCTCACCCAGCACTTACCTGAGTCATCCAGGCCCTGACCCAGCTGCTGGCCTGGCTCTGGGCCAGTCCCATCTGGCACTGCGCCCAGAGAGGGGTGCCGAGGTCGGCCAGGCGCGGGGTTTGCCCGGCCTGGGGGGGATGAGAGACTTCGGCCGGCCAGAGCTGCTCGGTGCCGACGGCCCAGCACCTCAGCACTCAGGGCTCCTGCCTGTGTGGGAGATGTGGGGCCACTGGTCAAGGAACGCAGAGCTTCCGGCCATCGTCCACCCACACACAGGTGGCTGCGCGGCCCTTGCGATCTCCTGCCAACACCTCTTGGCCCCTTAAGATTGTTGCTTGTCTCTATGTTTTTGCTTATGTCTTCTCATTTTTGCCTAGCTAGCTTCTACCTATTCTTCCAGACATGGCTCTTCCTTTCCCTCTGACAGAGTTAGCTGTCCTGGCTCTGGGCTCCCATAGCAGCACGTCCTGTGTTCATCGCTGGCTGTCGCATGTTGTTAGGATCATAGATGTATCCGTCTATCGCCTAGCTAGACTTCATAGTCAGCATCACACCATATCCGGCATAGCAGGTGGGCATAAGTCTAGCTGGCTACTTGATGGATAAGTGTGGGCCAAATCTCACCTTGAATGAAGCTTGTGGGGGTACAGGCAGCGGGCAGGATCGGGAGCCTGCAGGTTCCGCCCAGGCCAGGCTGCGGCAGCCCTGCTGAGAAGGGGGATCTAGGGGAAAGGTCCCCTCCGGGGAGCCCGGGCCCTGGGAGCCTGGGGACTCGCTGCTCCCAGTGGAACCCGGGCCTGGCTCAGGGCTGGCAGAGCAGTGGGTGAGCACATACTGCTCCCGGATGTAGGAGGACTGGAAAATGCGGCGCCATATGGCCGTATCGGAGGAGGGGTTGGGTCCCGGGTCCGTGACTGGGTCTGTCAGAGCATCCGTACCTGTTGAGGGGCAGGAGAATGGGCCCCAGCCCGTCCCCCCATCCCCCTCTCCAGCACAGCCCACACGTTGTCCCCGGGGCGCTCACTGCGCTCTGAGTCCCCGGCAGCCCATAGGCGGGACACCTCTGCAGACACAGTGCCTGTTCCCGGTGGCTCTGAGGTCCCAGTGGGCTCAGTGCCAGGGCTGGTGACAGATGGCGCCTCCTCTGGGGATGGGAACACCGAGCCACCAACACTCTGCCAGCCAGGCTCTTGGCCCTAGGCGGAACAGCATTGAAAGAAATTGATGGTAGCTATGTACTACCTCATTTCCAAACAAGACCTACAGTGGAAGTAATGAAGCTAATAAACCAGAAGGGAAAGACCGGGACCAGGGAAGGAGGAAACAAACATGTTAGCCTAAGGGTTAGCAGAACTGCTTGCACAGCTGAGCTTTGGGTTTGGCCCTGAGCTACCTGGCAGCCAGGTGAAAAGGGCAATCTGTTATATGGCTCTCATAATAAAAAAGGAAAAGCATGCTTAGTTCTTCTAGGTAAACACAGCTTCCTCATCTGTCACTGTCCTGAGTGTAGCAGGGAATGTGTCTGATGGTGCTGTCCGTAAGGCACGGTTTGAGGAGTGAGGAGCCCTTTTGACAAAAGCACCCCAGCGAGGGCTGGAGCTGTTTGGTGGCCATGAACTTTAGTGAGAAACAAAGGCAACGCCTTACAGGACAACTCCCTGCGGACCCAAGGAGAGGGACAGCATGCATTGCTCTGGGGGTCAGAGTACAAATCTATGGGGCCCCAGAGGTTAATAGAGGAGTTCTACAAGACAGGCATGGGGAAGAGAGGACGGTGTTGAAGCCATGGACAGAAACCCTGGCAGGGTGTACCCCCAGAGGGCGGGTCCGGAAGCCATCCACCCTGAAGAGTGAACAGTAGCCGAGCAGCTGGTCCCCAGGGTAGAGTGCTGGGATCTCCCGCGGGGTGAGCAGGGCCTCCACGGCATCAGGCACGAACCAGTCCACAGAGATGTCGCTGAGAGCGGGCTCCAGGGCCTTCCGCAGAGCCTGCACCAGCTGCGGGAGTGGCCAGAGGGGTCAGGGTGTCACAGCCAGCTCTTCCCCGAGAGCATCTGCCCAGTCCTGGACTGACAGGGAATAGATTGGGCTGGGATCAAGAAAAGGAAGGCTCTGGGAGGCTGAGGCGAGAGGATCACAAGTTCAAGCCCAGGCTGGGCAACTTAGTGAGATCCTGTGGCAGGAATAAAAACTGGAAAAAAATTAAAAAATAAAAACTGGGTTGGAGATGTAGCTCAGTGCAAAGGCCCTGGGCTCAGTTCCCAGGCTGGGGGGATGAGGGTAAAGCAGGGTGGGTGTGTTGAGTGCTTGGTTCTTGAGCTTGGTCTGTCTCCTGGCCTGAGCTTTGTCCCTTGGATGGGACGAAACTTCTTTTTTTTTGGTACCAGGAATCAAACTCAGGGGCTTGAGATTTAGCTCAGCAGCACAGTCCCTGCCTGGCAAGTGTGAGGTCGTGAGTTTGATTCCCAGTACCAGAAAAAAAACAAAACAAAAAAAAAGAAATCAAACTCAGGACCTCATGCTTACAAGACAGGCACTGTGCTCCTGAGCTATATTCCCAGCCTGGGACAAGACTTCTGAGGACGAGGTTCAGTTCCTAAGATTTGGGGGTGGTCACGGGCTGTCCCCACACCTATCACCTTCCACAGCGCCCGCAGTCCTCCTGCTTGGCATCTCGGGGAGAGGTAGGAGGTGCCCCGAGCCCCAGTCCCATGGGGTCCATTTCATTTCCGGGTGCAACTTGGGACAAAGACTTCTAGAGCAGAACGCAAGGCCAGAGCCCACTCACCACGGGCTGCAGCCTCTCCCCGGGCCGTAGGAAGTGGGCTCTGCCCCTGCTGAGCACCGCCAGCCCCCGGAGCAGCCGGCGGCAGGCAGCTCCCAGCCCGAAGCAGAAGCACCTGAGGGGAGGGCAGGCCGCTGTGAGTTTTGGGAGTGCCCTGGAGGGCTCAGGCCTAGGCACCCGGCTCTGCCCACTCCGTACCTGGCTGTCCCCCGGTGCCACCTCATGAGCTCCAGGGCTTGGTGGGTGGTGGCCGCCCCGGGTGCGGCGGCGGTGAGCAGGAACAGCTGCCGAGGGTGGGCCCTGTGCTGGGGCTGCCCCAGGGCCCAGTCCAGCGCGGCCAGCACATCCGGGGGACCCCGAGCCGCCTGCAGGGTCTCGATGGTCTCACAGATCAGCCGCACAGTGTCCTGGAGAGACGCACAGGCTGGGCGGGGCGGGGCCGTGCGGAGGACCCCACAGGGCCCCCAACCTGGGGCACACTCACATCGCTGCAGGGCCGGCTCTCAGGGAAGAGTGGCTGCGTGGATGTCCCAAACACGGTCAGGTTGACAAGTGTCTGAGACGGGAGGGACTTCACGGCCAGCACGATGGCATCCTGGGGGGCGGGGAGGGGACAGCCCATCACTCACTGGCTCCGCGCCGGGATAAAGTGGGTCCCGGGGACAGTGTGGGCAGGAGACTGCGGTGGAGATGACGCTGGGCTCTCCGTGCTTGGGTCGCTGAGTGTGCCCTTGGAATCTGGGAACGATACCCGTGTGAGCGTAGGAAAAGGAAAGGCTGACTGTGTGTGTGTAAAGATGGCGTCTTGGGGCTGGGGATTTAGCTCAGTGGCACAAGGCGTGCCTGGCAAGCACAAGGTCGGGGGTTCGGTTCCCGGTACCGAAAAAAAAAAAAGATGGCATCTTAAGGAACAAGGAGACTGGCTGCTAGAGGCTGCCTCTAGCTCACCTGTGAGCCAGCACCCCACCCGAGCCCAGGGCCACCCCCAGGGAGCCCCACGGGCCTTGTGTGCCGCGCTGCTGCCATCCAGCAGGAAGAGCAGCTCCCGAGTAGTGGTGCCCAGGTGTCCGGGGCTGGAGCTCAGGTCGGGGCAGAAGCTCAGCACCAGCACGGGGTTCAGCAGGATGTCCTTGTGGAAGCGGCGCTGCAGGAACCACACCTGGGCGGGGAGCCCCGGGTCAGCCTGGGGGGCTTCCTGCGGCTCAGTCCTGGCCGGCAGAGGGACCTGGCCTTGGGGCCCCTTTCTGTGCAATTCTCCCAGAAGGGCACCTTCGCGGTGGTCTGGCTGAAGGCAGGTGGGCAGGAGGCTGTCCCTTGTTTATGTCAAACCACCATCCTCCCAGTCGTCCCAGGGGGACGCACGCAGGCCCTTTGTGACAATACCCTCTGCCCTCTGGAACGCAAGCACGGTGGCAGCTAGGAGAGATCTTGCTGAGAAAAGAGGCCCTGCCCGGTCCCAACAGGAGCCTGTGCCTCACATAACACAACTGCCACCAGCACTGGGACCACAGAGGCCAGGCTGCGACCCCCCCAGCCCTACCTGCTGGTCCCCATCACTGTCCCGTCGCCGCAGCCTCTGGAAATCCCGGCGGGCCCTCACCTGGGCTTCGTACTCTGCGGAGCTCAGGCTGCCGGCCTCCAGCATCAAATGTGGCTGGTGTGGCTCTGAGACGGGGGGACACAACTCTGTGAGGAAATCCCCTCCACCAGAGCCCAGCTGTCTAGAGCCTCTCAGAACTGAGGATTGAACCCAGCGCCCTTGCACTGCACTGTATCCCCAGCCCTTCTTTCTTAAATTTTGAAACAGGGTCTTACCAAGTTGCTAGGTTGCCAAAGTTGGTCTTGAACTTGTGATCCTCCTGCCTCAGCCTCCCAGAGTGCTGTGATTACTAGCGTGTATGCCACTGTGCCCAGCTCAGTCCCTCTTTTTTTTTTTTTTTTGGTACCGGGAATCGAACTCAGGACCTTGTGCTTGCCAGGCAGGCACTTGCACCGCTGAGCTATATCCCTGGCCCCTATTTCTCTGTCTTAGGAGGCCCCGGCACCATGGGCCCATCCTCAGACAGGACTCAACCTATCTGCCCTGGGGTCCGGAAATCTCCACACGCAAACGCTTCCTGCCCACCGCATGGCCCAGGCTCTCACCACTGGGGTGCAGCAGGATCTCCAAAGGCCGGTCACATTGGTGGTCCTCAGCCAGCGTGACACAGATGGTGGCCGCAGAGCTGGCGTGAGGGGGGGCATCTGCCCGCAAGGCATGAGAGGGGCTCTCCAGGCCTGAGCGAAAGAGAGGCAGGGAGGGGTGATGGTCACTTCGCCCCAGGCCAGCAGTAAGAGCGCAGACATTTCCTCCCAGAGGGCAGTGGCTGCAGGCAGGGGTTTCGGTGGATTCCGCTCAGCTCTCAGAGTCTGATCTGTAGCTCAGACAGGTGAGGGAGGATCTGTGTTTTTCTGGACTGGGACCTGCATTTCCAGCTCTGTTCCCAGCTGACCACTGAGTTACACATCAACCAACGAGCATCCTCCCCACCCCTGGCACAAATAAAACCCTTTTCAGCAGGAGGACTGGTCCCGTTCTAGTATCTGTCTCACCCCGGTGTGGGGGGGTGTATATAAATAAGTGACACTGATGAAAGCATGGTGGGCGCGGGGTAGAAGCGGCCAGGGTGCTCCCGGCACCTAAGCCTTCATTCAGTCCCTGTCTTCTTGCTGTCCTCTGTTCTATCCCTGAGCCTCGAATAATTTTCCAGACTGCTACCCGGGCCAGACCCACCCACCTGCCAGCAGGCAGGGCCCGGTCACCAGCATTTCGAAGGAGAACGTATAGGGGGCAGGGCAGCGGGCAGGGCCAGAGAACACGTCTGGAGGGGCAGCCGGCTCCTCTTGGGTCAGCCCTTCCTCCTGAGGGCTGCCCACCCCGAAGCAGCTGGTGGGGCTGGAAGGGACAAGGAGGGTCACTCCCGAGGCCCCCAGCCCTGATGGCTGACTGGCTCCCGCCCTCCCTCACCCTGTCCAGCCCCCCGGGGCATCCTGCCGAAGCCCCCTCACCCGCACTAGACCCAGAGAAGCCGAGGGAGGGACGGAGAGAATCACCATAGGCCCAACCTGTCGTCACAGAGCCCCGGAGGCCTGGGGGGCCCTGGCGGGCCTGGCGGGGCCAGTGGGGTGAGCACGGTGGGCAGGGCCACACGCAGCACCCCATCGGGCCTGGAGGGGAGCTCCCGGCTGCTGCTCAGGGTCACTGTCATGGTGCCAGCGGCAGCGATAAGGCCCGTGGGCAGCACCAGTGTGGACCGGGCCTGGGCCAGATCCAAGACAAGATGACCTGTGACGGGTGAGACAGGGAATCAGAGGGGGCAGGACCAGGGGGGACAGGAAGACAGAGCGGGGAGCAGGCGCCGAGTGGGGGGGCCTCTCGGGGTTGGCAGGACGCTGGGCATGCGGCATGGAGACGTGAGATGAAGGATGGTGGGCGAAGCAGGGTGATGGTAGAGGGCACCAGCTGCCTGCACGCAAGGGAGGGCTGAGGAGAAGGGGACATACCATTCCCAGGGACCTGGGGGGACCCACGCCCTCTGCCTCTTCTCCCCTGCCTGGCTCAGCCTTCCGGGCACCAGCATCTTCAAAGATGCCCCCTGTAGGTGGAGCTGTCCCTCTGGCGGAGACCCCCTGTGCTCACCAATTCCCTTCTCATGAACATAAAGGACTCCCGGTGCCCCCAGGGTGGGTCCAGGGGTTTCTACCCGGGAGGGACGCAGGGATAGCGGATCTGCTGGGACGCAGGCTAGAGGGTGCAACACCTCTGCATAAAGTGTCTGCACACCAAGCGCCCCTTTAATTTCGATCCTAGGTTCATTTAAGGATTGGGAGAGTCACCTGGCCTTAGCCCACCTTTTAGCCCTACCTTACCTCACCTCCCCACAAGAAGCATTTGTTCATCCTTTTGAGAACCACTTGCTGAATAAAAGAAGGGAAGAAAAGGGGGCGGGGGGTTTAGCTCAGCGGCACAGCACCTGCCTGGAAAGCGCAAGGTCATGAGTTCGGTTCCCGGTACCGGAAAAAAAAAAAAAAGAAAGGAAAAAAAGGAAAGAGGGACGATAAGAAGGAAAGGAGCTTCCGTCCCAGCCCTGGAGGCCCATGCCATGGAGAGAACACTGCACCAGGCTGTGAAGCTCAGCTTTGTTATTTCTAATTGTGTCCTTTAGGGGCTGGGGATTTAGCTCAGCGGCAAAGCGCCTGCCTGGCAAGCGGAAGGTCGTGAGTTCGGTTCCGGTATCAGAGAAAAAAAAAAAAAAAATTAAGAATTGTGTCCTTTGGCAACCTTCTTAGAGAATCAGTTTCCCCATCTGTAAAATGGGGAACATGATAACTATCCATCAGAGACTGCTGTGAGCTTTAAATGGCAGAATGTACACAAAGCATTCAATATGTGGCTGCTGATATTATTCTCATCACCAAAGGGGGAAGGGACTGATGCACGTCATACCTCTCCCAGATTCACAGTGGGTGACAGCAGTCTCTGGGCTTTGCAAAGGGTAAATTACCATACCCATGAGTATGACCTACTTAACAAACCTTTCCCTCCATCCACCAAGCCCTACCCTTCCCTTCGGTCACAGGCTGGCTCCTCTTCGGGAACTTTCCTGGGGCCTGAGCCCAGAGCTCCCCCTTGTCTCTAACTACCCATGGAGCTTCTGCCGACTCCACACACAGCATGGTCAATGCCAGGTCAGGAGTGAAATGACACATGAATGAAGAAATGAGCGAGTGCAGTGCCAGCCGCAGAACCGCTCGGGGCTCAGCATCCCTCTCCTCCCCACCCGGCCCCTTTGTGTCAGGTTCTGCGCGAGGAGCTGGGCCTCGGGGATGACCAAAGCTCTGTCCTGAGATCAGGAGCTCAGGCTTCAGAGGGGCAGATGGACATGCAGACGGGTGAGGATGGCTCCCCCTAGAAAGTGCTGGCGGGGGCGTGGAAACGGCTGGGAGCGAGGGAAGATGCATTCATTATTTGCGGGGGAGTAAGGGAGGGTTTCCTAAGGGGCACCTGAGTGCATCTTAAAGGACGACTCCAAACGTGTCAAGAGAAGACAGTGGCGAGGCGCGATGGGGCCTGCCAGGGTGCCCGCGCTGGTGGCACCCGGGGAGGGAGGGGCTGGGGGACAGAGCCCAGCGAGTGACGGCCAGGGCTGCACTCGATCCAGGGGAGCTGAAGCTAAAGGACGAGGGACAGCAGGGGCTCAGCTTTGGGGACAGCGGCGCTCCCTTCACACCTTGGAGAGTCTGTGCTCTACAGGGCAGTAAGGGCCTGTGGCGCCAGCAAGTTCTGCGCTGCCGGGGCCACATCCCCGCTGCCCGGAGTCCGCCAGGGTGCTGGGTGAGGGTGCGATGGATGGATGAGCGCACGCAGGGCCTGGAGGCGCGGAGGGGCCGGGCGCGCCCCGGACTCACCCTGCGCGCAGCGGCGGGGCGT